TCTAGGGCGCCAACAGACGTAAATAATCAAATCAAATCAAATCAAACCCCTTTCCTGGCTAGGAACACCCTGAATGCACCAGCCATCGCCAATTTACGCTATGGCGCGGCCGCCGAACCCGATCGATCAGTACCGTGAGTATGTCACGTCTCTCTACCTGAATGGAACCTCTCGAAGCAAGATTAAGGATAAGCTGCAGCGCCACTTCAATGTCACCGTTGACGACAGCACGATCTCGCGCCGCATTGCAAAATGGGGTCTCCCACGACAGCAATCCCGCACCACAGAGACACCCAAGCTGGTCGAGGCCGTCCGAGACCTTATTTTCCGTGTTGGCCTGACCGAGAAGCAGACTCTGAGCGTTCTCCAGCGGCAAGGTTGGCCGATCACCAGAAGCGGTCTAAAACGCATCCGCCTTCACCCCGACCGCCGCTGGATGCGGCGTGTCGATAGCGATGCCGAACGCCTCGCATTGCTAGCAAAGACAGAGGCACTCATAATTGAAATGACTCAGCGTTCCAATGCCATCCTAGGATACGGCAGAAGGCTTCTGCAACCCTACCTCCGTCAGCAAAAGCAGTTGTGGGTGCCGAGAGATCCCCTTTTTGAGATGTACAAAGTCATGTTTCCGAACGAGGTTGAGATGCGGAAGAGGATGATGCGGAGGAAGAAGGGACAGTTCCTCGTTCCTGGGCCAAACTACCAGTGGTGCATTGACGGCCACGACAAGCTCAAAGCGTATGGGTTCGAGATTTACGCTGCAATTGATGCCTACTCGCGCAACATTATCTGGTTCTATGTTGGCCACTCTGCTACAACTGCTCTGAGCGTATTGAAGCAGTACCTGGCTGCCTGTGATGCCTATGGCTTTAGACCGTGGTACTTGCAAGCGGACAGGGGCCGCGAGACGCCCTTGGTCGCAGCCGCGCATTGGAACTTTGCTCTGGCCTCAGGCGGGCGCATAGAATGGAATGGACAGGTTTTCCAGCAAGGTCAAAGATTGATTGACTGTTACAAGGCGGCCCCTAGCACGAAGAACGTCAAGATTGAGAGCTGGTGGGAGCGGATGCTTCATGTCTCGTCACGACAATGGGTGGACTATTTCGGTGAGCTCGCTAGGGATGGCGACTTTAATGCAGAGATGTTGGAGGACCAGATCGCCATGTACGCCGTATTCGAGGATGTACTCCGTCAAGAGCTTTTTGACTTCGTCGAAACGTGGAACCTGCACCACATACGCCTCCAAAAGAACCGCCCACACGTGGTCCATGGCCAACCTTGGATGAACTATCATTACCCCGACCCCAGCAAGGCTTGCAATTGGGGTGTACCAATCGACCGTTCGATCCTTGCCGAAATGGAAAGGCCAGTGGCTGCACTTGACATCAGTACATGCTTGGAGCCGGAGACAAAAGCCTGGTGCCGCCGGATTCTCACGGAAATGGGTTACGACGAGGTGGTGGGTGGCCGCCACCGAGACTCTGACAAGCTTCGCCCGCTTAAACGCTCCTATATGGGCCTGCGTGGACGGATCGTTGGGCACCTTGAGAGTCAGTTGTCTCCCATACTGGCTTACCGCCGGGCACCGACAGGAGGAGTTGCAGAATATGTAGGTCACTCTATATATATGTGCGCTCCACTAACTAACTGCAACCTAGCAAGCAATGCTTACCCGCGTAAACCAGGCCCAGCAAGAGGAGCTGGTAAGCGGGGAGCTAGCAGAAGAGCCACTCGTTGAGCTGGGGCACAGTGACGAAGAAGGACATGATATTGAAGGTATAAGTGAGAACAATGGAGGTGCAGAGGACGGCGAACTTGAGGACGACGCGTCAGGCTAGTAATTTCTTCCTTCTTCTATGTTGAGACACAAATGTCGCGGGAGTTTTGGTGCCTCTGAAGCGAGTAGATCGCGCGGGGGGCAAATCGTGCACCGCCGCACGCCCGATTGGGTGGACCTGAGCCCCGCCGTCGAACCGCGAGACAACTGCCGATGGCAGGCTCACCTGTTACAGCAGGTCAGTTTCGAACTCAATTCCAACTGACATGGTTTCTTACGAACTCTGTGGCAACAGTTGTATGATTCTCGTCTTCGTCTTCGTCCTCGTCCACGTCCTCCATTCCTTCTGCGTCATCTTCTGTAGCGAGGGCACTGGTGGCTGCCACATCAGAAAGAGGCTGTTCGACTTCATCTTGCTGTTCCAAGTTCCATTTGTCACCCGTCAGCCTCGGAGAGGGGCTGTCTGCAAACGGATCCTCTTGCTCAGTCTTCACACGTATCTCTTGTTTGATCTCACCCGCGCTGGTCTCGTCTCCATCCTTGATCCGTTTTTGCTCCTGGGCACGCTTTTTGGTTCTAGGTACCGGGCTCTCGTCTTCCTGCTTGATTTTTCGCTTCGTCTTTTCCCTAGCTGGAGTTGGATACTCGTCTGACCTGAGTGGCGTGACTGCCTCCTGCTTGTCAATCACTTGTGTCGACGTCAAGATGACGAGAACCTTCAATTGCCCGGATTGGTTGTTCGAAAAGTGGCCGGAGGTGAGCATGCTCGACGGTGTTGTATATCTGTCCGTGTTGGGGACGGTGATGATCTTTTTACCAGAGAACGCCGAGGCATACGACAGAGTCCACAGTTCTTTGTTGGCGGGATCGATGCTGCCTGGAAGTGGGCGTAGATGCTCAAATAGCGTCTCCGTAAACGACGGCCAGGTAAGCAAATCCGCCGAGTTAAACTTGATCACAGTGTCCTTCAGAGGCAGCACTGTCTCCGGAACTTCTACCACGAGGCCGTTGAAGAATCTGGTTTCCAGACTCACAAGTAGCAGGCTTATGTGAACCCATTGATACCCAGTGCGGTGTCTTGTAGGCTTTCTAGTACTGGTTGTGGGGTTGCGTATGGCTTGACTTGCAGCTGACGTGACCATCTCGAACGGCGGGCAGATCGGGCTACTCATTTTTGCTCTTGTTTAGCGCCGTTGGAGAACGAAATGATGCTGTTCGGGAGCAGTTGGGCGTGGCCGACGCCCGCGAATGATACTGGCTTCTGCCTGAGCAGGTGGCTAGCTGGACTGACTGGCCGTGGCGGAGTATCCTCGAGCTCAACCACCTCATCGTCCGGGCCAGGAAGAGCAGGAGTTCTAGACGTGGCTCGACGTTGGGATAAAAGGGGGTTGGCGAGGCCGCATCGTCCGCAGAAGTTTTCGCCTGCGTAGGTAGTTGTGAATAGATCATGGTGCTTCTTCCCGGCTTGTACGCAGTAAACATATTCAGCCGGGATAGTTGGAGAAGCCATCGTCGCTATCCAAAGAGGAGAAAAGTGTAGAAAGTAGAAGTTTTGTTGAGAAAAATGGCATCGGTAAGAGTTTGGTTGCGAATCATGCCAATCTTGTTGATAATTAGTTACGTGCTGCGGCTGACTCGCTAGGCCTACTACGGCAGAGGATCGGCGCTGGTCCGCTGCTAGTCCGCTGCGGGTACACTGCGGGATAGCTCTGGGGCGGCTGTTTCTGATCACCCTGGAGCCAACTGCAAATGCTGTAACCCTTCAACCCTGTGGACACATCTGACCTTAAGGATTCAATGGCACGTATGGCTTGTAATACCTTCATAACAGATAGACCTAACAATCGTGTACATCAAAGGTAGCCGATACGGCGCCGTTGGCGTAGTTAATGCTGCCGACAGACATTGCCCAATACGAACTCAGACGCGAGGCTCTAGATTTCGAAAAGCAATAATATCAGGGGCATAATTGTACTGTAGAAGACTGAATTGCACATTATCATCTTCAAACATTCTGTAATCATATCAATGCTTACCGGCTGGAGAATATCAACTGTTCATCGAGGGGGGTTCTTGACAGGAAATCTTGACATTGGTTCCGGGTAGTCAGCTCTCTTGACGGGACAGAGGGTCGGGCGAAAATACTCCCGCAGCGAACCCGCTGGTAGTCCGCAGTGACTTCTCAGCCGCCTATTCGATGTAGGGATTTAGTGACCACGGATCCCTGCAGCCAGGTTGACAGGAAGTTTTGCAACAGTCTCCCCTATAGGCCTCCGTAGGTCAGGTCTAACGGACCGGAAGTCGGCTCGGCATTAGCGCATCAGTATCTACTCAAGTGGGGGAGGGGGAAATGCTTAGTTTCGCACAGTGCTGAACAAAAATGTACATAATGCTTTTTAGGTATAAACCAATGCATATTGCATTGCTGCCTATGGTCGCTCGGGAACACAGCTGTGATTCTCTATAAATATATGGTGCATACTATTCTGAAGATTTCATCTTCTTTCCATTATGAACGAATTTTTCTTTACGGGCATTAGACCGCGGCCCTTGTCCTGCATGTCGGAGTTTGCTGGCTAGACAGTATGTAATGCCGGGTAGACCCATTTCTGTCACGATCCCATGTTGAAGCTGCCGCGGTATCACGTGACCACGTGATACCCTTGTTCCTTTCTACATAAGTATGACAGTGCCCACAATACACATATAATTTACCAAGAGGTTATAGTAAGTCACGTAATTAGTTGCTAAAGTTCATCTTAACTTTGGTAGGCGACTATCACTTTTGGAATCTGGACACTTGGAATGATTTTACCGCTAGTTGACAGATAGGGCGGGCATTTATGGCCGACATATCTCGCTCTGCCCTACCTCTGGCTCACCTCGTTCATTTTCTCGGCGCAAGACTGGGCTCGTGGGCGATGTAGTAGTTACAGCGATGGATTTGGCAGAAGTGGCTTGAAGAAGACGGTCATTGCCTTCCATTTTCTAGCATTGTAAGTACCGAGAAAATCTGACTCTCGAGGAGATAATATACTAATCCCATTTCTGTAGCTTATTTCTTCTATTGAATGCGATTGTTGAAAGTCTACTGTTCCACGAGCATCGGCATGGGAGAGTGCTTACTCCATCCACGAATAACAGAAAGAGATCAGGGGTTACCAATTCTGTCTCGTCTGCTGTTTGATAGATGATCCAACCAGCTGTTGAGTGGTATTCTGGAATGATATTAGCTTCTATTCGGTATCATTAAATATCCGGGATAATTACACCCTCCTTTAAGCAGTCATGGTACAGCGGTGAAAGCGGCGACCCTCGAGGTAGTTCTGCTTGGTGTAGCGTTTGGGTTTCAGACAAGTGTACGTTGGCCAGAACATTGGAACAAAATGACCCGCACGCGCTTTTCGGGTTATGCTCTGCCGCTCAAAATTTGCAGTAATCGTTCTTGGACACCCCGTGATACGCTCCTTTCACGTCAAAGCTATCAAGCTGACAACCTGTCTTCCCGTCCACGCTCTGTATATCTGCTCTTGCAAAAGTAACAACGCCTGCTCCGCCGAGCGTTGCTTACGGGCTCCAAAAATGGTTAGATTGAAACAGGACAACCTTTTCCACGGCATGGCACGGAGACTGTAAATCAGCGGTTGGCCGTTGAGTGCAGCCAGCATAAACGGAGTCGCTCTTGTAAGGTCTTGAGCGTTCAATGTTTTGGGTGATTGTCCGCTAAAAGCTCTGACACTGATATCTTGCAGCTGTGGCAGCATAGTGAAGAGCTGTTCGTCTAAAGGCATTGACTTACAAAAGCCGACCATAGTGGGAATGCGCAGCTGCACTATTTTGCTACTTACGTGGCCGCTTGTGTAGCTGTGTAAGTTGTTAGCTACAAACTTATCGCGCCATTGCACGGGCTCGAATGGCAAAAAGACTCCCAAGCCTCTCAAGTGCTCGATACCTTTACAAACTCAATCAATTTACATTCTCTGCGGAGCGATTAATCCGCATTATTGCAGACTTCTACACCGTCATCAGAAGTCTGAGTGAGCTAATTATGACGATGCTGTGACGCCGCGCTGTGGCTGGTGACGTCAGTGATCAGTCAGTGCATCATGCCGCAGCTCTTGACCATTCATTGATCTGAATACTATCTTACAAATACCTTGCATATAATTGGATAGGTTCTGGTGAGAGAACTAAAACTTATGTGAAGCAAGGCGGCCACCGTCGCTTCGGACATTACATGCACAACTCTCTACTATGTTTTCTCTGGCCACCAGAAAGGCTAACCTAAGATTACTTTATCAGCCATCATACAAGAGCTCCAGGTACCAAACGGCAGCCATGTCCACAATCTCCAGTGCCATTATCAAGGACCATCGCGAGCTCAAGCAGTACTACGACGAGGTAGTAAACAATCCCAGTAATCATGACCATCAGCAGCGATACGGTAACCAGTTTACCTGGGAGTTGGCGCGCCACTCGGTCGCTGAGGAATTGGTTGTTTATCCTGCACTTGAAAAGTATCTCGGCGATCGTGGCAAGCAGCTAGCAGACGAGGACCGCCAGGAGCACCATCAGGTAAGTTGGCATCAATCGACCAACGAGAAGTAGACTGACTTGCCGCTAGGTCAAGGAGATGCTCAAAGTCTTTCAGAGTATGTCATCCTCTGATCCAAGCTACATTTCCAAGATCAAGGAAATTTGGACGTCGCTTGATGAACACATCAAGGAAGAGGAGGAACGCGATCTACCAGCGCTTGAGCAGGCGCTGCAGGCAGCCCATGGTGAATCAAATGCCATGGCCAGCTCTTTCAGGCGCACAAAGGCATTTGTTCCGTCACGCAGTCATCCAATCGCCGGCGAGAAGCCTCCATTTGAAACTGTCATGGGTCTCCTAACAGCTCCAATCGACCATGTCGCCGACCTGTTCAGAAAGTTTCCTGATCAGACTATCACGCCCAACCCATCTACCAAATAGTTAGGCGACAGGCCGAACTTGAGAATGACGAATAGTTGCTGAGGGATCATTGTCTAGTACCAAATTGCCAATAATCAATAATCTACCCGTTGCTTTGCGCCCTGTGAATAATCTATGCACCTAACTATAGACAGCGAAACACTAATGCTTAGACGACAGACGGATGCCTATTCGGCGTACCAGTGTGTCGCTGTTTTTCAGGTGAGCTCACGTCACTCTGATGGACGCGTGTGCAGCCAATTTTCGTCTGCAAGTGCGCGACTCAGATTGATCCGCGCTGATATAACTTGACGGATTGACGGAAGCTCAGGTGCGAGGGTCATCGAAGGCTCGCAGCTAATTTTTTTTGGCCATTCCTTGTAGCTGCGCAAATGAAATTTCGGACTTTGCGCAGCCTAATGCGTATATAGAGTAGGCTTTTCGCACTGAAGTCGCATTGTCCGTGGCAAACATGACGCTCGTCTCGGAATAATTGCTGTTCCCTTAGAGAGCCTCGTTCCACGAGCGAGTGAGAACGCTGGCTACTGTAGTATTATAGTAGGCATTAGTGTTGGGCTTAGTAGCGTAGAGGCTACGTGAGGACGAATTGCACGACATGATGCGTCTTTGTGCTACTATCAATTCGAGTCTATGCCGGGCCCTCATTCTGCGACGTCAGAACTCACCAGAGCCTGTTTCAACTACTGCCCTCTGGCGGCAGGGCCTCGCAATTCAGCGGCAATCACGACGCCAAGAGAAGGCGAGTGTGCTTCCAATCTGCCTCAATTTACCTTGTCGCTGCATTTCAATCTAATACAGGGCACATACCAGACTAAAAGAATTCACTCGAAGCGGTGTTGTATTTGCACGACCATCAGGACTCCGCTGTGGCGCCGATCGCCGGATGGACTGCATGTGTTGTGCAACGCATGCGGGCTGCTGGAAGCAAAGAGAAGGAGCAAGAACTTAGTTGTCCGCTCAAACGTTTTCTCTCGATAAGAAGACCACACTTTGTTAGGTCAAAAATAATGGTCGAATGCATGCATACGCAAAACGATGAAAATCGTGAGAAATTTGGTTTTCCCTGTCACCCCCAGCCATCATCACGCGTGTGCTGGCGCCTTGGCAAACCGTCGCTCCCCTTTCTAGCTGACTACTCGACCAATATGCCGTCGCGTTCCAGTAAAACTCCAACAAGTCTCACGACCGTGTTGCCCGTGTGGAACACCAGCCGGGACGTTCTTGAAGCCGATCCCGCGCTTCCTCGATTCGATGCCTGACCTGCGAGGAGTGTCGATGATCTCCCAACACGAAACGGTTGTCTCATGGACCTGTCGTGTTCAGAAAAAAAAGTATGTTGTTCAGGCAGGTGCACAAGAGCACCAGCCAAGCATTATGGACAGCTGGAATACTGTCGCGCTTTGGCATCGTTGGTCGATGAATGAGATGTAAGCTTAGTTGTTCCTTGTTCTCCGTCTGCCATCGCTACAGCGAAACTTTATCTTGTCCGTGGTTGACTCCATTCTCCGATGCTGGTATTTGGGATCTGATTTTTGGGAATCGGTTTGGTTTCCATCTCCAGGATCATCCAGAGTGGGCCATTTCTCCCTAAACCCCTGTTGGAGCAGAACGGATGGGGCGTAGGTAGTGGTGGTGGTTGAGCCTGGGTTGGAGATACCCAGTACCTGAGAACAAATTTATGTTTCCATATTTGCTTTGCTGTTCCGCTGAGTGTACGACCTTTCGGCGTGATGGATACAACGGCCGCTTGCCGATTGGTTGGCTGACAGCTTTATGACTGGCAATATCTCATGTTTGCAGGTGATGATATGCTTGATTAGTGGCACAGGAGACGACAAGTGGTGTCCAGATGAACATAGTTCAATCCGGGCGATATTTCTACCCAAGCGTGAACTAAAAAGATAAGACAGCTGTCCGAAGAGTGCTTCCCCAGAAGTGACTGCGAATATAATCGCGGCAACTCAACACCGAGACTGACATCTGGGATATAATTCGCGGTGGCTTTAGTTGGCTCTGGTGATTGAATCCATAGTGGGGAATAGGGTGGCCTATGCCAGTCTCCGGGTGGGATTGGCCTAGTCAGTAGGTGCAGAAGGTGGGTACTGGTCCATCTCACGATCCCTGCTGGACTGCAGATGACATTGATGCCTATACCAAAGGCTATCACAAGCTCTGCTTGCACTTTTCTGATTACAGGATGCCGGCAAATCTTGTTGCCACGCGCGGGCGGTCGATTGTTCCTTGTGTCCCGTCTGTATCCCGCTTCTGCAACGTAGAGTAGCGAGGCAAGGGCCAAGTAACAGCCATGAAAATGTTGCGGGCTAGCGCCTGTCGAATTTGGAAAGGCGCAGTCGCGCACCGAGCGTTAGAAGAGAGGCGGAAATGCAAAAATGCTGGCGAGGCAGGATTGGACGGAGCAGGCTCATGGCCTCTCCCAGACTATCAGAGAGTGAAAAGGAGAAGTGGTATTAACAGTAAACGAGAATAGATAAAAGGTGACCAGGGCTTGAAAATGCGATCATGGCTTTATGCCGCAGGCATGTCCCTAGAAGAGAGGGAAGAAGACAGAACGAGAGGAGAGAGGGAGGGGGGAATAAATGAGCAGCTGTCAGTGCCTGTTTGCAAGGCACGTTTGCGAAAGACTTTATTCTGTCGACTGCGCCATAAAAATGATAGCTCCTGGCACATTCAGCGCTCTTGTATTCTTCTTCCTGAGCCAATGTGTGCTAGACAATCAGTTCCCTTGCATGGTTCTGGGTTTGGAGCGTGACTGGGTGGCTCTCAGGCCTTTCAAACATACAAAGGTACTGTAGTGTGCTCTTTGTTCAGTGACCAGCTGTCTCATGTCTAGGCCAAGTTCTGCGCCAGCATGGTTATTTTGTGCCACTGCCTGTCGAAGTAGAGTCAGGCTCCATTTTCGACTGACAGGTTCTCAGTGTCATTGACCTGAGTAGATACTAAATCTGAAGTCGCGACATGTACACAGGGTACGCAAAAGTGTTTTTATATTCATTCATTCAGTTTATTACGCCCGGTGGAGAATTCCAAGAGGGCAACTATAAGCCTATGCTATGTATCCAATTCGAAGCTAATCTTGTTATTAATAGAAATACTATCTACAGACTATAAATCTCACGCTGTCAGTCCAGGGAAATGAGAGCCGCAATCGGTTGATGAAGTGAGTGCTGCTAAACATCTTGCATACAGCCATAGTTTGTGCCTTTCGATACTCATCATGGCTGGCGGTGTGATTGTCATGGCGGTGCAAATTTTATGATTTCTGTTCCGCTAGTACAAAGTTCCGTATGCGAGCATCCATATATACTGCAATCTTGTGCGTTTTTCTCGAAAATCCTCATTGAAGCAGTCAATCATCCAATCCCAACCCTCGCTCATCACCAAAATACAGATAGGCAGGACGGGAGACTAACATGTAAATGACGCAATTTAGAGTCGTCTCGCTCAATCAATTTTCATGCAGGTGATCCGATCCACAAAATAGTCTGGAGAGCTTTTGATGCCTCCAGTCTCATCATCTCCCGCTCCCGAAACTTTGTGCTGTCCTCGCCGTGCTGGGCTAAAAATGTGTTTTCCTGGCTGGCTAGTTGCATCAAAATTCGTCTAATGTGATGAAGGCGCTTCTCCGCATCGCGTACTTCTCTAGCAAAGCATTTGCTCCGTTCGCGTTGCTGATAGATGCATTGTGCGTTTTTCATTTGGCTTTGTTGCTTTGCAGGCGTCATATAGCTCGCTCTCTTGCTGTCCTCGGAATCGGTCTGCAATACGCTTGTCGACGTGGAATATACGGGCTGTAGTATGGTCTCCTCAGGTTTTATGGAAGTAGTCATCCTAGCAGCAAATACCGTGGCGCCTGGTACGTTGCTGAGATGCCTTCTTATGCCAGGCTCAAACACATTCTTGGCGTCATTGCATGAATATAAACACAGTACATACGTGCTTTTGAGCATTTTAGGATGGCTCCTTAGAACACACTAAAGAGCGCTGGATGGTGCTCTCGGCGCGTGGGAGCGCCAATCCTGGCACTGAATGAGTCTGTTAGCTCATGCTCCTTCCTCTTCTGGCCCCCTTCCTCTTCTGGCCTTCTTTGAGCGAAATAAGGGAGTCGAAAGAAATTTTTCAGCGGTGCAGAGATATCCGGATAACAAATATAGTGGTATAGCACAGTCGGACAGTCGGGTTCAGGTTCAGCGTCCACATTCCACATGGATCCATAAAACGATGTTGTGGTGGCAGCCAAAATCGGCCTAAACAAGACTGAACTTGATTTTTTTTTGGCCCAGAGTGTGGACGCTAAACCTGTTCCTGACTGTACAGTACCCAAGTCGAATTTCGCACGCCGTTTTCCCGAGCTTCTAATGTTACCTACGTTTGGCTACTTTTAATTAGTGCATACGGCAGCATTTCGACGCCCTTTTAATCTACTCAGTCTTTTTTAACTTCTTCCAGAATTTGAACGGAGTTGCCTGCCACAAATTTGAGTCTGGCTACTTGTGAGTTTACAACAGCTTGGTGCTAGAACTTTCAGTACCAAATTAGACTTGTAATTATGGGTAATGCCCAACTGACTTGTCAATCTCGATCGCGCAACTTAGAAATTTTATATGGGCCAATTGACGATTCCGGATTGGTATTCAACACTTGACGTAAAACACTAAGCTTCCTCGTTTGTGCTACTACCGAGATACTCATAATCCGGCATGGCCCATTTCATAGCCAGGGATACCAGCCCTTTAAGTTTCTCTTTCTGCCAGGTTCTTAAAAACGGGTGCTATAACTTGTGAGCTTTTACTTTTCTCGAGTTGACATAAACGGCGAACCTTTTGCAACTCTGAGGCGGACGAAGCGGATGTTGTAGCCGAAAGGAAATCTAATACTTCTATGTCCCATCCTTGAGGGTTATCAAGACCCACGTTTTCGCTCTCTTTAGCATAACCTTGTATAAGTTCCATCATCACGCGGCCGAGGTCTCTGATATCTTTCTGAGAGCTCGACTTGACGCATTCCTCTTGGCCTACTGATAATCTAGTCAGTTCCCTGTTCTGGCATGAGAGATAGAGAATGTATTACTGAGTTTGACTCTCCCGTTTGGATCTAAGAGAATATTTGAGCAGGTTACATGGTTGTGTCTCAAATTGTGTTGCTCCAGATGTTCGAGTGCGTTAACTACCTGATTCACGTTAGCAATCAGGCCCTGCATAGCCGGTCCATGCCGTACTTGGCCAATTATCGCAGCAAGCCTGGGGCCTGTGAGATAAGGATTTCCCACAGCTTCCGCTACTGAAAGCGGAAGATGCTCAAAAACAATGAGGTCTGAGTCTTCTAGCTTGTATATTTCATACGCTGTGACGAAGTTGGGATGTTGAATGAGCTCCAGGACGTTGATTTGATGGTTCGTTAGCGAAGCAAAACGGCGTATAGAGAATAGATCACAAGTGATGCTTTTGCGCTCTACCACAAGGAATGGCGCATTCAACCCGAGCCTCATGGTGTAAATCCGTTCGTACTTGGCCCATGGTGTTGTTGTCTTGATGAGTAGAGTATTTTGAGCTGGTCTGCCCTTTTCTGTTGCCGTTGGTAATCTCAAAACATGCATCTTCTCATGTATCGTTGCATTTTTGCTATGAAGAGCGGATTCACGACAAGTATTTATCATATTCCTTGACGCTTCTGCAGTGGTCGTGGTACTTGCCCGAGTAAAAGCACACGCGCTGTCTGTGGAAGTTCGGGCATGGCATCGGTTTAGAAAGATCCAAGTGACAACAGTTCACTTGTGCTCTGTCGTCACCACTTCTGACTGACCATTTCTAGCTAATGGTTCTTGGCCATAATCGGCGTCTCTGTGTACACCTACTGCTAGTATGGAGCTCCATGCATCTCGGCAGGTACCCACAGCCAGACAGACGCCACAGGCATCTTTAGCAAGGTCAATGTAGCCTCTCAACCCTTCAGCCACTTGCAGCAGTCAGAAAGTGGCGCAGCCAGCTTCATTCGTTAGTAGGTGGTAGGGTCCGATATGTTTCGTTTGCGGGGAGCCTTGAGCATCTCAACCATATTTCGTTTCACACTCTGTCCACATCAAAAAACTTTCATCACCAAGGTTTTCCCGTTTCACCTTGCCGTAGTCAAGGGGGAGGACTGACCCTAGACCTTGTTGCCAAAACTCACACATCTCCAGTCCGAGGAGGAAAAAAAAAAACGCCGTCCCCTGCCGAGCCGTTCAACTCTCAGATGTTCAGTCGCCGAGTCGAGCAACGTCCTTGGCAAACTCTCCTTTCGGTTCGTCCACCGAGCAAATATATCCGTGCACAGGCGGGCCGGGGAG